CTTCATCAAAAAAAGAATATTAGATGCCACTAAACTCTTTAAAAATTAAATTTCAAAACTGTTTCAATAAAAGCAGCTTTGTTTATATTCTTGACTTTTCCCCTGGTCTCTAAAATATTTTACCTTCCTGGATACACAATCTTAGGCAATAAGACTTTAATCCATGAACTGAGATTAAGTTTGAGCATTCTATCTCTTTGCTTATTCTTGCATTTCTATGTGGAAGAAAAGTGACTAGCACAATGATGTAGACATGGATAGGGTGAAGCTCCATGAGGCCCAACACAGAACAAGAATGGTTATGTGTCACTTAATAATGAGAATATGTTCTGAGAATGTCCTGTGTAGCTAGAGGATTTGTTTTTTTGTGCAAACATCTCATGGTGTGCTTATACAAACCTAGACGGTGTAGCCTACTACACACCTAGGTTATACGTATACTTGCCTTAACAATTGCTTATATTACTCAGTACAAATAATGTTAACACAATCATAACTGTATCTAAACAGAAAAGTACAGTAAAATAGAATATAAAAGATAAAAGTGATACACTGTGTAGTGCACTTAGCATTAATGGAATTTCAGGGCTAGAAATTGCTCTGGGTGAGACACCAAGTGGGTGGTGAGTGAATGTAAAGGCCTAGGACATTACTGTACAACAATGTAGACTTGATAAACATGTTACACTGAGACTAATGAATTTATAAAGAAATTTTCCTTTTTCCAATAATAAATTAAACTTTTTAAAATTTCATATACTTTTTTTTAACTTTCTTTTTTTTTATTGGTTGTTCAAAACATTACAAAGCTCTTGACATATCATATTTCATACATTTGATTCAGGTGGGTTTTGAACTCCCAATTTTACCCCAAATACAGATTGCAGAATCACGTCGGTTACACATCTACATTTTTACATAATGCCCTGTTAGTAACTGTTGTATTCTGCTACCTTTCCTATCCTCTACTATCTCCCCTCCCCCCTCCCCTCTCATCTTCTCTCTCTACCCCATCTACTGTAATTCATTTCTCTCCTTATTTAATTTTAACGTTTTCACTGTTTTGTGATACATATTAAAGAAGAAATTTTTTACATCTGTACAAATTTATTTTAAACTATCAGGGATTAAATTTAAAAATAGAGGTAAATAAGAATACATCAAAATTTCAGGGACACTATGAAGAGTGATAAGAGGAAAGTTCATTTCATTGAGCTTATTAAAATAGAAAGTCAACAAATTAAACTAACATTACATCTCAAAGCACTAGAAAAAGAACAAATCAACACCAAAGCAGAAGACAGGAAATAATTAAAATCAGAGCCGAGTAATATTCCATTGTGTCTATATACCATATTTTGTATCTATTCATCTGTTGAAGGGCACCTAGGTTGGTTCTATAGCTTAGCTATTGTGAATTGTGCTGCTATAAACTTGATGTTGCTGATTTTAGTAATGCTGAATTTAGTATCATAGTGTGCTGATTTTAAGTCCTTTGGGTATAAATCGAGGAGTGGGATAGCTGGGTCAAATGATGGTTCCATTCCAAGTTTTCTGAGGAATGTCCTCCATACTACTTTCCAGAGTGGTTTCACCAATTTGCAGTCCCACCAGCAATGTATGCAAGTGCCTTTTCCCCCCTCATCCCTGGCAACAGTTATTGCTGTTTGTATTTGTTTGTGTGTGTGTGTGTGTGTGTGTGTGTGTGTGTGTGTGTGTGGTGCTGTGTACTGAACCCAGGGCCCTGTGCATGTGAGGCAAGCACTCTACCAATTGAGCTATATCCCCAGCCCTGTTGTTTGTATTCTTGATAACTGTCATTCTGACTGGCTTGAGATTAAATCTTAGAGAAATGCAAATCAAAACTACTCTGATTACTAAAGAAATATTACTCAGCATTAAGAGACAATAAAATCATGGCATTTGCAGGTAAATGGATGGAGTTGGAGAATATCATGCTAAGTAAAGTAAGCCAATCCTGATAAACCAAATGCCGAATGTTCTCTCTGATATGTGGATGCTAATCCATAATGGGCGGGACATGGGAAAAGAGGAACTGAATTGGGCAAAGGGGAGGGAGGGGAGTGGAGGGGGCATGGGGGCAGGAGAGAGAGGGTAATGATATACATCTCATTCCACCATATACATGTATGACTGTAAACATGGTGTGATGCTACATTGTGTACTACCAGAGAAATGAAAAATTGTGCTGCAATTGTGTACAATGAATCAAAATGCATTCTGCTGTCATATATACTTAAAATTTTAAAAAATTTATTCTAATTGCCATATAACAACCAGTTTTGCAGCTATTAGAAAATTTTAGCATTCTTGTTTGTATTTATACACATGCACAACAGGATATATCTATACATGCACATATACATATTTATATATCTGTTTTCCTCATTAATGGGTGGGTTAAATAAAAACTGATGTGATAATTTATAAAAAAAAAAAAAAACAAGAGCTGAAATCAATGAAATAGAAACAAAAGAAACGATCCAAAAAATATTAGTTCTTGGGAATTGGGGAAAAATAAAAATTGATAAACCTTCAGCCATGCTAACAAAGAGAAACAGAAATGATGAAAATTCATGATGAAAAATGAAATATCACAACACGACTGAAATACAGATGATAATCAGAACCTATTTTGAAAGTTTAGGTAATAGGGTACAAAATCTTGAAGACATCAAAAAATTTCGAGACATATGACCTACCCAAATTGAATCAGGAGGACATAACAGTTTAAATTTCAAGCAATGAAATTGAAGATGCCATCAAAAGCCTACGAACAACGTAAAGCCTAGGAAAAGGTGGATTTGTAGCCAAGTTCTACCAGACCTTCCAAGAAGAACTAACTCCAATCCTCCTCAAATTATTCCGTGAAGTAGAAAAGGAGGGAACCATTCCAAACTCATTCCATGAAGCTGTTATTACCCCCCAATAACCAAAACCATAAAAAAATCAAGGAAAGAAAACTTCATACCAATATCTCTAAGGAACACAGATGCAAAAATTCTCAAAAATTCTGGAAAATTGAATACAAAAACACATCAAAAAGATAGTACACCATGATCAAGTAGGGTTCATCCCAGGGATGTAAGATTGGTTCAACATACAGAAATCAATAAATGTAATTTATCACATCAATAAAGATAAGAATCACAAGGTTATCTCAATAGATGCAGAAAAAGCATTTGACAAAATTCAATATCCATTCATGTTCAAAACACTAGAAAAACTAGTGAGAGTAGAAACATACCTCAATATTGTAAAAGCTATCTATGCCAAACCCAAGGCCAACATCATTCTAAATGGAGAAAAATTAGAAGCAATCCCTCTAAAAACTGGAACAAGGCAGGGATGCCCTCTTTCACCACTTCTATTTAACATAGTTCTTGAAACATTGGCCAGAACAATTATACAGATGAAAGAAATTAAAGGGATACAAATAAGAAAAGAAGAACTCAAACTATCCCTATTTGCTGACAACATGATTCTATATTTAGAAGACACAAAAAACTCCACCAGAAAACTAGAACTTAAACGAATTCAGCAAAGTAGCAGGATATAAAATTAAGATCCATAAATCAATTGCATTCCTATACATCAGTGATGAATCAACTGAAAGAAATTGGGAAAACTATCCCATAATAGCCTCAAAGAAAATAAATTATTTGTGAATCAATCTAAAAAGAGGTGAAAGACCTCTACAATGAAAACTACAGAATGCTAAAGAAAGAAATTAAAGACTTTAGAAGATGGAAAGATCTCTCATGTTCTTGGATAGGCAAAATGAGTATTGTCCAAATGGCCATACTACCAAAAACACTATACAGATTTAATGCAATTCCTATTAATTTTCCAATGATGTCCTTCATAGAAATAGAAAAAAAACAGTAATGAAATTCATTAAGAAAAATAAGAGGCCCAGAATACTCAAAGAAATCATCAGCAAGAAAAGTGAAGTAGGAGGCATCACAATCAATACCTTATATTATACTACAGAGCTAATACAGCCAAAATGGCATGGTATAGGCATCAAAACAGACATGTAGACCAATGGTACAGAATAGAGAACACAGGAAAAACCCACATAAATACAGTTATCTCATACTAGACAAAGGTGCAAAAAAAAAAAAAATACATTGGAGAAAATATAGCCTTTTCAGCAAATGGTTCTGGGAAAACTGGAAATCCATATGCAGCAAAATGAAATTAGACCCCTCTCATCCTGCACTAAATCAACTCAAAGTAGATCAAGGACCTAGGAATTAGGCCAGAGGTTCTACACCTACTAGAAGAAAAAGTAGGCTCAAATCTTTACTATGTTGGCTTAGGAACTGATTTCCTTAACAAAAACTCCTGAAGTCAAAGAAGTAAAAATTAATAATAAATGGGATTATTTCAAATGAAATGCTCTTCAGAGCAAAGGAAACAATCAAGAACATGAGAAGAGCCTACTGAATGGGAGTAATCTTTGTCAAATTCACCCCAGATACAGTGTTAATTTCCAGGGTATGAAGAACTCAAACTTAACGCCCCTGCAAAAAAAAAAAAAAGAAAAGAAAACCTCAAATAACCCAATCAATAAATGGGCAAAGGAACTGAACAGTTACTTCACAGAAGATGCAATATGAATGGTGAACAAATATATGAAAAATGCCCAACATTAGTATCAATCAGAGAAAGACAAATTAAAACTACACTGAGATTTCATCTCATTCTAGTCAAAATGGCAATTATCAAGATTACAAGCAACAGTAAATGTTGGTGAGGATGTGGGGAAAAGGTACACTCATACATTGCTGGTGGGACTACAAATTAGTGCAACCTCTCTGGAAAGCAGGGTGGAAATCCCTCCAACTTGAAATGAAACCAACATTTGACCCAGTTATCCCAGTCCTCAGTATGTACCCAAGGGACTTAAAATTGGCATTCTAGGGCAGCCGGCCGGGGAGGCACAGTCTGGGCTGCTGCATACCGGTCTGGCCATGGCAGCGGCACCTCTGAAAGTGTGCATCGTGGGCTCGGGGAACTGGGGTTCAGCTGTTGCAAAAATAATTGGTAATAATGTCAAGAAACTACAGAAGTTTGCCTCCACAGTCAAGATGTGGGTCTTTGAGGAAACAGTGAATGGGAGAAAACTGACAATCATAGTGACCATGAAAATGTCAAATATCTCCCTGGACACAAGCTGCCAGAAAATGTGGTCGCCGTCTCCAATCTCAGCGAGGCTGTGCATGATGCAGACCTGCTGGTGTTTGTCATCCCCCACCAGTTCATTCACAAAATCTGCGATGAGATCACTGGCAGAGTACCCAAGAAAGCACTGGGGATCACCCTCATCAAGGGCATAGACGAGGGACCCGAGGGACTGAAACTCATTTCTGACATCATCCGGGAGAAGATGGGCATTGACATCAGTGTGCTGATGGGCGCCAACATTGCCAGCGAGGTGGCTGCGGAGAAGTTCTGTGAGACCACCATTGGCAGCAAAGTCATGGAGAACGGCCTTCTCTTCAAAGAACTTCTGCAAACCCCCAATTTCCGAATAACTGTGGTTGATGATGCAGACACGGTTGAACTTTGTGGTGCTCTTAAGAACATTGTGGCCGTGGGAGCTGGGTTCTGCGATGGCCTCCGCTGTGGAGACAACACCAAAGCCGCCGTCATCCGCCTGGGCCTCATGGAAATGATCGCTTTCGCCAGGATCTTCTGCAAGGGCCAGGTGTCCACAGCCACCTTCCTGGAGAGCTGTGGGGTGGCTGACCTGATAACCACCTGCTACGGAGGGCGGAACCGCAGGGTGGCAGAGGCATTCGCCAGAACCGGGAAGACCATTGAAGAATTGGAGAAGGAGATGCTGAATGGGCAGAAGCTCCAAGGACCTCAGACTTCTGCTGAAGTATACCGCATCCTCAAACAGAAGGGACTCATGGATAAGTTTCCATTGTTTACTGCCGTGTATCAGATCTGCTACGAAGGCCGACCTGTCTCAGAGATGCTGTCCTGTCTCCAGAGCCATCCAGAGCACATCTAACGGGAATCACATAACGGGCTGGGGAAAGTCCTGCCTCTCCTATCAGTCTTTTGGGTTCATGTGGAAACTAACACTTGGCAACAAGAGATTTGCCCAATCGTGCTCCCAACACGGACATGTATGAATTGTTACAGGTTCATTTTTTAATTACGAGAGGCAGTTCGTTGGCTCAACTGTACAGGGCAACAACTAAACACACATGTGGGCATGTGTGTTCACTTCTCATTGTGTGGGTGTTTCTACTAATCAATATTATATATCCTTTTTAAAGATCACATTTGAAATTTCCCCACTGTGGTACTCTATAAGATTGGGACTATCTCAGCTAAATTTTTTAGGTGTACTTCATATGTATTTGAGTGGATGAATTATTTTTTTTCTCCTCCTTTTGATGATAAATTTAACCAACATTAAAATGGTTGGTAGGATGAGGAAGGGAATGTGTTCAAAGATCACCGTATTTAACATTTAAACACTATCTCAAACCAGCATAATTAACTTACTTTGATTGTGGGTTGGTGTTGTTTTTTTTGTTTTTTTTTTTTTTACAATTAGATAACTTTCAATTAGATAATCCACTTATATACTTCCCCTCAAGTCCCCCAGATCCTCTGAGAGGGTGCTGCTATTATTCCTCTTGAAAGATGCAGTTGCTATACCTGGTCATCTGAGTGTGTGGGAACAGAGCCAGGAATGGAGTGCGCACTCTCTACCTGCCAACATGTGGGACCTTTTAAGATACTACTAGGCTTTTCTGGCCTCCGGCTACTTGGTTGTGGCAAGTGTCCCATGCAACCTTTCCTGAGGTCACAGGAGGACATCCTGACACTGAGATGTGTGGGGGTCAGGGTCTTGATGATTGCCACACCAGGTGTGGTCCACGGTCGGGTAGGATCTGCTTCACTCTTTGGAATCCAGTTTCCCAGGCCCTGCCCTGGACCCCCGAGTGCTGTCTCTGCTTCAGTACACCTTCCGTGTGTTTCTGATGCTCACTCTAATTTGAGAACCACTACTTTCAAAAATCTACTTCATCCTGGCCTGTCACACATTGTGTTCCACAGGAAGCAAGCATCCTGGACTCCAGGGGTTGTTCCAGGAGTACAGGAGACCTGGGGGAAGCTGCACACGTCCATCCCTCTTGAAGGTGTAGAATGTATGTTAGTGTCAGGGGAAGCTCTTTGCTTACCCCGGCGAGTCCCAAACACGGTGGGCTTAGGGAGATGTTTTAGCAAAGGAAACTAGCCAAAGTTTCCAGGGAACACTGTTGTAGGCTGAGGTGACTTTAGGACAGCTCGAGTGGATCCTTTGCTCTCTGCAAGCAATGAGCATGAATAGCTACCTGTGGAATTGTGAGTTCTGAACTTTTGCAGTTCAGGTCAGCCATGAATCTTTTATGGAGCTTTAAGGTGACACTGTCGAGTACAACCAAGTCTACTTGTCAGCCTCGCTGAAACGCACATTATGTGGGATAAGTGCTTTTAATTTTAGAATTAGAATGGAATGACTGTACCCCTCAAAATGAGATTGGTTTCGGAATACCATTCCACAGTTACCTTATATAGCATTCCATAAGTATTAAAAGAACCTATGAATGTCATTTATATATTCATGAATTTTTAGTTACTTTGTGAGATTTTTTTTTTTTTGCCCCACCCCACCCAACCCCAACCCTAGTTTGAGGGGTTATTTTTCCCTTCTTTCTTTTGTTCTTCTATAACTGAAATGATTGTAGAATTGATTTCCGTGGGAATTCTAAAAGCTATCTAAAACATTTCTGGGGCCTTTTTCAGCCTCATACACAGAAGTACATGGAAGCGCACACAGTGCTACAGGTTTCAGCAGTTTTAATGCCGCTGTTAAATCAATTTTGGGGTCTCCTGATAAATCTTTTTTAAAGTTTGTACATAGGTAACAAAGAGTTACTTTTTAAGATATAAAAAGGGCTGTAAGCTAATTGTGGTGTCTACTAAGTAGGATCATGTGCTGGGAAGATTTGGGATTTTGTGTTTTCCCATCTGCATTCAGCCTCCTCTGGGTTTTGAACCTGAATGTTTTTTCTTTCCAAATCCCCTCTTACTGGAGCTGGGCATTATGGCACATGCCTATCATCCCTGCGGCTTGGGAGGCTGAGGCAGGAGGATCATGAGTTCAAAGCCAGCCTCAGCACTTAGCAAGGCCCTAAGCAACTTAGCAAGACCCTATCTCTAAATAAAATGTATAAAAAGGGCTGGGGATGTGGCTCAGTGGTTAAGTGCCTCTGGATATACTCCCTGGTACCAAAAAAAAAAAAAAAAAAATCCCTTCTTACCGCTCTGAATTCTGCTGACCATACCTCTCGAACATACTTATGATAATCTGCACATTATGGGAAAAGGTAAATTTTATATAAGTTTATGCTCTGCTACTTATAGATATTTATTACTCTACGAGTCATCTATTTTTGTAACCACCTGTGGTCCGTCCTTTATTTTAACTCACACTTCTTACCAATGATGGTGATAGGGAGGGAGACACCGAGATTAGGAAAGTTCATTTGTACTATTTCAGCCAATCTGTGAATGTAAAAACTACCCTGTGGCCTTGCTGTGGTCCACCCCACCTGGTGTGGAACAGATGCCTGTCTTGACCCCCACCCTCGGGATGGAGTGGAGCTCACTCTCTGGTTCTTTCCTCTCGCCCTTACCTGCAGCACAGCCCTGTGGGGTCGGCCTGCGGGGGGTGTTCTGGGGAGGTGCCAATTGTGCAAAGGGAACTTGAGTTTTTCCACTGGTTCTGATCTGCTGCCCATTTACTTACACGTGGACTGTATTTGTTTACAGACGGTAGGTGGATGTATGATTTAAAGCTTGGTTTAATAAACATTTAACCCCTCCAAAAAAAAAAAAAAAATTGGCATTCTACAGTGACATAGCCACATCAATGTTTATAGAAGCTCAATTCACTATAGCCAAGGTATGGAACCAACCTAGGTGCCCTTCAGTAGATGAATGGATAATGAAAATGTGGTATATATACAATGAAATATTACTCAGCCATGAAGAATGAAATTATGGCATTTGCTGGTAAATGGATGGAACTGAAGTCTGTCACACTAACTGAAAAAAATCAAATCCCAAAAACCAAAGGCCATAAGTTCTGATATGCAGATGCTGACTCAATAGTTGGTGGGGAAGAGAAGAATAGAAGTTCAGTGGATTAGACAGAGAATGAAAAGAAGGGAAGAGGATGGGCATACAAAAGACAGTGCAATGAATCACATATGACTTCCCTAGGTCCATATATAAATACACAACCAGTATAAGTTTGCATTGTGTACAACCACAGGAATGGGAAATTATACACCATGTATGTATATCAAAATAAATTCCACTGTGATGTATAACTAAAAAGCAAATAGAAATCTTTGTATTCTTATTCTATAAGCTTTGTCTATTTTAAATTTATTTTGTTAAAAAACTAATCCACAAAAACACATATTAGCCTAGGCCAACACAGGGTCAGGAACATCAACAACACTGTCTTTAACTTCACATCTCATCCTACAAGAAGGTCTTTGGGGTAACAATGTGAATGAAGCTGTCCTCTCCTACAACAATGCTTTCTTCAGCAATATCTTCTAAAGAACTAGCCTAAGGCTCTTTGAGGAGATGTCACTCTTTTCAGAAATATGTCCATAGTGATTTTTTTCTATCATAAATTTGCTCATAAGCAAAAAATACACCATGAACATTTCCCTCTATTAATTGAATCCATTTTGTATTATTAGTAGTATTAGTATTAGTATTATCCATTTAAACACATTTCCAAGGAGCTTGAGTTTTGAAAAAGTTTTTGCTTAACACTTCACTGTGAATGTTCTTGGGCATTCTTTTTCTTCTCCCAAAGTTTCCTGTTTTCTTGCCTCTTCTTCAGCTACACATTCACTAGGAAATAGGATTTTTTAAGCTCCATTACAATCTTATGGGACTACTGTTGTATATTCAGTCCATTGTTGACCAAAATGTTATTAGCACTTATACTGAACATTTACTTAAGATAACACATCTCAGAACTCACATGACTGGACAACATTCAAGGTCTAACCAGGCAGAGTAAAGAGACTTCCTTGAGCACTCTAGGCCTCAGTAATGATCTCAGAAATTTCAATCTATAGTGGTAGGGCTATATTAGTCCAAGAATAAAAGGAGTTCTAAATCCATGCTAACAAAGCATAAAAATAAACCTCAAGAGTTTCACTTCTGGTCATGATGGACTTCAGGAACTATCATTACCTTTCTAGTACAAAAACTGGACAAAATATATGAAATATGTTTTTAGGCATTGAGTAAGAGACTTGTCAGGAGTGTGATTTGTGAATTCAGGGAAACAAATGAGGTGAGCCCTATAACTTCCATGAATTCCTACGTAGTAAAATATAATGGATTACAGAGTAGGACTCTAATCAAATATAGAGCACAGTGGAGTCACCAAGTTCAGATGATATAATTGGAGTTGAGGCCATTGGGAGGCTCAGGACAGAGTTCTGAGGAGTAGGCAGCTACACAGAGATAAAGAGCTTCAGAAATTTTCACAAAGGTTCCCTTTATAATTAAATAAAATTTACTTCTATACATTGAAACATTTTTGAGTCCAAGCTAAGAACGACATAGAAGTCATGAGCTGATTTGTCACCAGAGGTAAGATATGCAGTATTGAGCTCCAATAAGCTAGAATAGATATTTCTCATTGATCACTCAAGGCATTCAGTAGAAAAATCCCCCAGACAAAAGCTATATCTTGATATTAGAGTGAAACCATCTCTAGATCTTCCTTTATAAAATTTTTTGAAGAAACACTATCAAAAGAATCAATTTACCAAAGTAATTTAATTGCTAGCTAAAACAAAACTCCTTAAAGACAAGAAAACTCAAACGTACAAAAACATGAAACCAAACTGTATAGCCCAGAATAAAACATGAATAGACATGCCCTGGTTATTTTAACAGGAAAATGTGACCCGTAATCTAGAGAAAAAATAAGTCAATAGAAAAAGAATTTGAATTAATTGAGATGGAGGAA